AATTTCAGATAAGCCAAATATCTGAATAATCTGGATAATCTAATAGTTATCTAGTTATCTATAGTAAATAAATATCTGGATAAATTTTGGATGAATTTAAATAGTGAATATCTAGATAATAGATTAAAACTCTATATTTGAAGTCAAAACAATATACAGTCGTACTCCCATATAATCACCCAATTTATCTAGCATTTTTTGGTGATTATATAGAGAGGTGATTAAATAGAAATACTTCTATATAATCACATAATATAAAATAATATACATTATGTGATTTTAGAAAGATAATTAAAAATTTATAAATTTTTATATTTGCACATATCGATATTAAATGTTAGTGCTCTCTGTATATATAAAGTGCATATAAATTTTTTTTTGTACATATTTTTAATTTTGTTTATATGAAAATATGCACATGATTTTAAAGTTTGCGTATATACTATTTATATATAATTTGCACTTGCGCCAATAAAAGTTTTTGAATTTATAACACTAAGGATGTGCTCAAAAGCTAGTTTTATATATAATCTAATATAGATTTAATTCAGATTAGATATATAGTTGTTAGATAAAACCTCAAGGTTTCATGTTGACGAAAGTTGAAACCTAGTTTCGACTTTTGTCAGTTAAAACTCAAATAATGAAACGTCGAAACTGTCGAAAGATATTGAAACTGACGAAAGGTGTTGAAATTGAAAAAAGGTGTCAAAACAAGTGAAAGGTGTCAAAACTGGTAAAAGATGGCAAAGGTAAAGAAACTACAAAGGTGACAAAACTAATAGATAATAAAGCAGATAGATGTTATTGAAGATAATGTGAATAAAAATAAATTACAAAATATATATTTATAATAATTACTAAAATTTTTATATAATAAACAAGTATAAGTAAGAGCGCCTTGGCTTTCTACATTTTATGTTATTATTTAAGGCTAGGTTTCGACTTTGTCATCAAGCAAGAAAAGTTTTGTCTAACAACTATAATTGGATAGAGTCCAGATTGCCTTGTTAAAAATAGGATCGAAACATTTATGCTGTTGCAATTTCTGATGCCCACTTTCCCAAAATACTATTTCTCTGACCCTATATTGCTGAAGACCTTATTTTCTGACAAGGCATATTTCTGATGGCTCATTCCATCAATATAAGTTAATAAAAGCTATCACTTTTAATAATTGAAAAAAATAATAATTTCAAATAAATAACTTGTGTTATCAATTAAATAATAATTCATTAAAATAAGATATCAAAATTATGTCTTATCAGTAGTATAGCTTTGGTAAAATGATAATTTAGAAAAATTGATTCCATAAAGTTGAGAAGTTTATAGCATAAGTTACGGATTTATTAAAATACCCTATAGTGTTTATCATGATGATAATTTTTAAAGATAAAATGTAGTTTTAGACCAAAATAAGGTTAGTATAAAGATCCAAATTTTAGTTAGTATATGGATATTAGCGTATAGTCTTTACCAATAAAAATTATAAATATAAGATATTTGCCACATTTATATTTATTTTAAGTAAATAAATCCAAGATTTATTTGAATATATATAAAAGATATTTACTAAAATTCTTACTAAAGCCTAAAAAAATTACTTTAACTACATATTACCATAAAACCCATACAATATTGAACGTTTACCGAATTAATAACTTAATATTAATCTGCTATATCAAATACTAATGAAACACTCAAAAAATCTCAGAATGCTGATTTGCTTCATGATATTGATATAATAATTTTACACTAGTTACGGTTATAGCAAGACATGTAATTACCAGAATTCTGAAAAGCTTGAGTGTGCTGAAAAGCACAAACCTGAAAATTAAAAATCAAAAATATTCAAAAAACCTAATAATCAAAATCTTACCTTTTATCAAACTCAATTCAACTATAAGGTTTTAATCGATAATTCAAATTGTTTAAAATCTCCATATGGGCTGCCGTCAATAGAAATCAAGCAGATCTACATTTGAAAAAAAATTAATATCTTAACTTTCACAGCTCATATCTCGACAAATTTTAAAGCTATGTTGATGTTTTAATATTCAAAAGAAAGCTTACGATCTAAGCTTTCTTTTGAATATTAAATCATCAATATAGCTTTAAAATTTGTCGAGATATGAGCTGTGAAAGTTAAGGCATTAATTTTTTTTTAAATGTAGATCTGCTTGATTTCTATTGACGGCAGCCCATATTATCTAGTAACAGAATAATATTGCTGAACAGCTAACTAAATTTAAATTTTCAAAAGAGAAAAAAAAAAAAAAAAACCTGTTATAAACAGGCAAAAAAAAAAAAAAACCTGCTATCAATCATAAATAGGCAAAAAAAAATCAGTAATAGATTTTTGTTGCAGCAAGTTAATGTGTTTCCTTTTCATTAATGGTAAGTATTTTATAAAAACTTTCAAATCCTCTACATTGAAATCATGGTTTTCTTGTTGCTCAAAAACACTAATGAATTTTTTTAGACCATCCAAGCCTTCTAAAACAGGAATTTTAGGTGGTGGAATGTCAGTATTACTTGTATCACTCTCTTCAATCTCCCATTGTTTATCTAATACAATGTTAATGATTCGCTCTTCATCAAGAATATCGTCAATAGATATTTGGGAATCATTGTTGCTATTAAATTCATTTAACTGGCATTCGATTGTTGGATCTGGCAGATTCGTTGTTAAGTCTATGATTAATTCATCAACATCATCCTTTTCTAACTCTGTCAATTCTTGAATGGCAAAAGTGGCATCATCAATCTCTGTATCTGATAATATTGGGAGAATTCATGTTTTTTTCCAACAATTCACAATGGTTGTTTCTTCAACTTCATCCCATGATTCTGCAACATAATATATTGCATCTTTGATATTTAATTTATTCCTGTGCAAATAAAGATGTGTCAATAAAATTTTAATTTTACAGAAATTAAAAATTAGAAATCATTGTCGTGAGCCAAACTAGAAAAAAACTTAATCCCACAAAGCCAATGTAAATGAGTGTATAAAAAATCTATTTAATAGTAGAATTGGACCTGAGTGTGAACTACAGCTTTTTTTATATATGCAACTAGATCATTTATTATAAATAAAGAGTGCATACGGTGCAAGAAATTTAAAAACCTCAATTCCTCTGTATAGAAATAATGAATAAACTGGTAGCAAATCATCAATCTAAATAAGGTAAATGAGAAATTACTATATTGAAATCGATAATTTAAGGAATATTTGATTTTAATGTACTATTTGAAATACGTTAACTCTATAGAAATTGCAGTTTTTAAATTTCTGCTTGGCGTAATCTGAATATAAAGCACAATCCAAAAATTCCTAAATTATCGACTTTAACAAAAGCTTAGAGGTTATTTAATTTCATTATTTATATTTTGTCTCTATAAGAATTAATTGTAGTTTTTTGATTTCTTGCACTGTATGTGATTTAAAACAATATGTAAATTGAACATCTATATGAATTTTATAAGAAAGGCAATATAAAATAATATTTAAGCACAGCGGCATGATAAATATAGATAATTTTTAAATTACGTATATACATACCATTTATAATATGTGTGATACATAATGCGTATGACAAGTCAGGTACAAATTTTCCTGATGATCATTTCCTCAGAAGACTATTTACCTGGCATTTTTGATGCCAGGTAAATAGCCCTTCGAGGAAATGAGCAACAACAATGACAAATAGGTAATATCCTCATACTTTCTTAAATCTTCGCCCCTTTCGAACTAATTTAATATATGCTGTATATACTTTTTTTTATACTTTGCTTTAAAGCTATTAATTATTCTAGCATCCATTGGTTGGAGGTGAGTGGTAGTTTTGGGTAGTAAAATCTCAATTCGAATATTTGTTAAACGAATATCAGAAGGGTTGGGAATTCTATAAGGATGATCAGTACTATGGTGACTTTTGCTATTCTGAGAAGCCTGCCCACATTCATGTCCATGTCCACGACCGCACCCATGACCACGCCCATGATCATGCCTGTGACCATGTCCACAACCATGCTCACGCCCATGCCCACGAAAAGAATCTCGCTCTTTTTGTTTATTAACACTAATAGCATTTAATCTTGGACAGCCACACCGCCTATATACGGTTTTAGACAAGCTTGCATGAACTTCTTCATTTTTATTATCATCATCATCATCATCATAATCATCATCTGATTCTTCATCTGATTCTTCATCATCTGATTCTTCACTAATTGATTCTTCATCTAGTGTATTTTGACTATTATTATCGTTAGGATCATAATGACTCGTTGTACTATCAATTATCAATAAAATTTGCGGTTTGCTAAACAAAACTTTTCATCATGTTTTGAGATCCATTTACTGAAGATATCAGTTCACATCCAAGCCTTTAAATTTGCATGATACGTTACGGGTAAGGCATCATAATTTAAGTGAACTAAAGTATTAGATTCAATAGATGATCAATTACTATTAGTTTTAACTTTTCAGTTCCAGTTGCATTTGTGGCCAGCATGACTGTAATACATGCACGATCCTAAAAATTATAAAATAATGATAAATAAATCCAGAAATTTGTTATTTTTAGCGATAAAACATCACCAATTTTGCTAGTTATTAGTATTAGGGATGGTCAACACACACTTATCAGTATGAGGTTCTTAATTGTTACATGCTAATGATATAAAAATCACAATAGATGTCAATAATTATCTAAGTTAAATATGTGTTGATTAAGCACTTTGCATTGATAAGTGCATGATAACCCATCTCTAATTAATATACACTTATTAATTGTTATGGCTAAAGCTTGAAATGGCTGAAGCTTGAAATTTTAATTATTTTAACATAAAATTTTTAAAAATTGTTGGGTGTATTTTTTAGCTTTTTTTTTTAATAGTTAAATTAGAGTTTAGAGTTAGTTTTAATAATAAAAGAGTATAAATAAATTTTGAAAGTATTTATATTTTTACATTGAAGTCTCTGATTTCACGATTTAGCTATGACATTAATATTACATAAAAATTATTGACTATTAAAAATTAAAAATTAAAAATTATTAATTTTTATTTTTAATTAATTAAAAAGTTCTATTACTAACTACAGTATTTTAACAAAACAAATTAATAAACTTTTTTCTAGCCTGACTGCAGTTGCGATGTGAGTGTTTGATATGGTGCCATGCAAAAAAATAACCCCATTTCATCTGCATTGAAAACATCATTTAAGAGATATTTTCTAATTATTTCATGTAACTTAGCTCTTTGTTTTGGAAGCAATTCTAAAGGTGTACTATTGGATTCTTCATGTAACTGATAGTTCTGCAAATTATTTCATTTTTTGAATTTATGAACCCAACTATTAGAAAATTTTAGTGCATTGTCTGGTAAGCCTAATGCCCAGGCAAAAAAACTTGCTTTTTCTTTAATAATCATTTGTATTAAAAAGATTTTATTGCTTATAACTTGCTCAACCTATAGTTGTATAGCTTTATCTAACAAAGGAAATTTAACTTTTTTATGCCAAAAAACAGTTATGCTAGTATCAGTAATTGCCAACCATTGTTCTTTTTCTTTTAATATTTTTGAAATAGTCAAACGTTCAAGATTTAAAGCTGAATCTTTTTGATTAAAGTATTAAGCAATATTAGAATGAGTTTCATTTGGAAATTTATCGTTATATTTGCAAATTTCCTGTTTTAGACTGCTACTAATAGCTGTTCTTACTCTTTTACTTGATATCTTTATTCTTAAACCTCTTATATCTTTTTAGAAAAATTTTTATTCTTGCATATTTACAACAAAATTTTATCTATCACAAACTTCGTTCACAGTAAGATTTGAATCCGGTTATAAAATTTTGTATAAAGTTTATTCACAGTAAAATCTAACTTACAGAAAAGTTCGACTTGCAGTGAAACTTTAAGTGAGAGCCTATAGTAAACCATTCCAAGGTAAACTTGACTGTTATAAATAGAAATTTAATCAATAAAACCATAAAATGCTATAATTAATAAAAGCTTTTAATACAAAATAATTGTATGTCAAATGATCTAAAAGAAACAATAACTCTACCACTAGCATAAGAAAATCAGATGGTAGTCAAAAGAAGATGTATGGCATGAGAAGATTAAAGACAAATATAGGCAACAATATCAGTGCATAATCAAGCATTAGAATATGCTAGAACAGAAAAGTGTTAAATATAACAAAATCAAGTTCATTATGCTTGAAAAAAAATTTTCATAGCCCAAGACAATAGGTATGTGATTCTATTATTTCTTCACAACTAACATGCTTTAACACATGAAGTAGTTCACCAGCTAATCTTACAGTGACTTCTAATGTAATTCAATTGCCTTTTTAGCCATTTGACTAATTTTATCAACTACTACTTTTCTATCATGTATTACAAATTAAGAATTATCTTTGATTTAATTTCTGCTAACATAGTTCATAATTCAAAGTAACATCTTTCAGAGGTTTGCATGATTACATATGCACAAAATAATTCTGACTTCATCTACTTCACCTAAACCTTGCCTCTCCTACTCAAACGTCCTTCCCTCTATACCTTCACGCACCTCATGTAGACCATGTTACTTGTAAGAACAGGTTTGTGACAAGAAAAATCAGTGTGAGTTTGTTCTTACTAATCAAACATCTTTTTTATTTATTTCATACATGCATCATTATATCACTAATCTAGACCATTTTCTATTTAAGCTACACAACCTTATTTGCTAGAGATGGTAATTGGTCTCACAGTAATT